TTCAAGTTGCTATCCAACTTCCAATTAAACAAATTTGTTACACAAAATAGGAAGAACAGGCCAGATAATTACTACGTCTGTTTCACAGTCAAACCGTGCTGCAGATTAAATGCTTGAAATCAAAGCTCACATTTAAAAGGACCCTGTCAAAATATTTTCATAAAGTAGACTTTTCTCTTTTGTTATAAAGAAGCAAATACAGAAGATAGAAATATATTTCTCACCAAATCTCTTTCTTTCCTCCATTCATACACACCACATGTTTTTGTATGGTTCCTCAGGAATAATAGCTTGCTGGCAGGTATTCATTCTTTTTACAAAACACCAGTAAAGCATTTATTTTGAGAAAAAAAGAATGGGTAAATACTGCAGTTTGATTGTACTTTTTTTTATAAAAAGAGAAATACCTATGGCAAGTCCCCATATATTACCTTTAGAAGCCCTTTTCATTCTGTAATAGCCAATACTTCTCAAGAGAGACTGCGACACTAATTCCAGAGGCTCTCTGGTGCCTTGAAATTAATGGGTTATACTTCTATGAATCCCAGAAGAATAACGTCCAGGGTACTCTCCTGATCAGCAGCATCTTACCATTCAGCATCAGAGCCCACTCTTGAAATTTGCTGCAATCATTTTTCCATTAAAACATAAGCATTTTCTTTTTAAGACTAAGAGAAGAAATTAAAGCTGGTTCTAACAACACTGCTTGAATTTACCATCCGGAGGGTTGTGGAAAAGGCAGTCTACGCAAAAGACCAAAGAACTCAAACTACACTGTACAAGGTCTGGAGCTGGTTATAGCACTGAAACTGTTAGGCTTGAATCTAAAATGCAGAAGGCATTGGTATTGTTATAGCAAAACAATTAAAGATTTGGACTGTGAGTAGCCCACTGAAAACAAACCAACTTGCTCATTTCAAGTCAAAGATATGAATCAGCTGGGGCTAAAATGCTGATTTCTGATGAAACTCATTCCTTCAGTATTCTTCACTTGAGCAGATTCATCTTACATAGCTAAATAAAAAGCAAAATACCTTAGCTTCCCTGAAGCTCTCCACAGTATACTCCACTACTCTAAGAATATCATTAACAGTAGAAATAGCATAGAAAAACACTAGAAATCTACTGCAGCTCTCTCAACTGCTGTGATCAGACGGGCTGCTCAGCTGAGCCTCATTTTAGAGGCTCTTCACCTCTCTACACTGAAAACACACTGAAAACCACATAGTGCTGCAGCTTTAATCTAACATCCTGTATTACTGTATTTATTATTTAACTTAAATCTGTCAATAGCCTTACAATTTTACACCATATTTATAATCTTCCTCTCTGAAATCGATGGAGTTAAAGCAGTTCAAAACAGGTTTGATGTGGCAGAAAGAAATATCAGACCTTCTATCTACAGAGACAGCCTTTTAGACCATGAGCTCCATTACCTCTGAAGTTAACATGAAAAGCTTTTTTTGTTCCTGGCTTCTTTTCATGCCATGTACATTAAGTTAGTGATCAAGAACAGTAATGAGTTAATACAGGAATACTTCTTTAGAGATACAATTTTGTATCTGAATCACACTCCTCCAGGGTGGGATTGGTTTGAACGGAGGAGCATGGGATGCTGTTTTTTAATAGGGCAAGCGAAACACATTTAAATTTTCCAGGTAAATTATTATCACTCTAAAGGGAAGGCAAGTATATGTTTTGCCTGGACTGATAAATCTTCATGACAATTTTGTAAGGCTGCTGAAAGATTTTTTTCCTTTCCACTCACACGCAATCACATGTAGCTGGGAACAAAGACTACAGGGAACAGAGTTTAATGGATTGTGATTACTGTTCTGGAACAGATTGAGTCTCTTTATAGCCTATGAGAAGACAATGTGAACTGAATCCAAACAAAGAACTGATAATGGATTTTACTGAAAGCTACACAGTTAAAAAAGACACTTTCATAATTCATAGCCATGGAAAGTATCTCAAAGCAAAAAAAGGATTTAAAATAAATAAGAGATGCATTACGTCTAAAACAACAGGCTTACACATTTTAGTCTTATATAGTACTCTACTTCAAAAAAAAAGGAAAATCCATACAATTTTCTTTTATTTTAAATATTTTCATTAATAGTGTCCTGGCTTTTTTGCACTAATACAGTAATTTCCCCCTTCTTCCTTTTCAGGCAGTTCTGTTCATGTTTCTACCTAACCTAAGTCCCAGCTGCTATCAAAGCAAATCAAATTAACTGTACTTCAATCAATGCTTTAAAAATAAAGCATATTTCATGTCAGCCATTCTGTTTCCTCTACTTCTTACTCCAAATCAACTATCCAGACATTTTCTTCTTCTCCCATCAGTGAGATGAGGGAGCAGGTGATTTTTCCGCTATAATGATCCTTCTTAACTTGCTCACAATATGGGGGAGGGAAGTGCCTCATCCTTGTATAAATACCTCCCTTTGTGACTATAGATGTCATTTCTAATGTGCTATCCTTGGTGGCTGTCTTCTTTAATCTGATATCTCTCCAAGCAGCGGAGGAGTAGGCTGCCTGTTTCTGAGTAAACAGCTTTTGAATTTTAGTCAGTAGATGAGAAAATTAATTTAAAATATATTTATTGTAGTGCTATCTGCTTCAAATTCTACCTTTCACACAAGGAGGTAACCTTGTTTGTAAATCAGAATACGCCCTACTAAACTTCTTACCCAATGAGACTGAAGGACGAGAACAATGGATAGAAGTTGCTGTGCTGTTATCAGTAAAACTGATGAGTTAACCAATAAAATCACCAAGTATCTCACATTCTGATTTCTGAGACACATTTTAATATATAATTCCACTAATGTTTGTCACAAGAACTGACCCAATATAAGAACTGCGCCCCAAATCTACCCCCAAATATATGACTCTTCACAGTCCTTTTTCACTGTATTAAAGAGGATTAGTTTTACATGTAAGCAATCATTTCCATACCTGGAATTACACTGTACAAATATTTTAAAATGGAAATATTGGCAAGTTATTAATAAGCAAGCTCAAGCTTTAGTTTTTCTAATAGGTACTTTTCCTCTAACTTCAAATCCTCCCACCAGACGCCCACATTCTCCTAGTCTTTTTGTACTGCTTGCATAACAGACATCTCCACTAGAAAAGACTCAAACAATTACCTAATGGTGCAGAACTAGCTTGACAGCCCTTGCTGCTGTGCACCCCATTTCAATGAGGTTTTGTATGACTCAGAATGAATCAGACTGAGGAAAGAGAACTGCGGTCCCAGAAATAATAAACAAAAGCATACAATTTGGAAGAAAGATCCTATGCTGATTAATAATCACTGCCCCATAGCTCATTGCACTGCCAGTATATTGCATGCCTAAGTACAATACATGTGTGGATGTATGATCATGTTTCTAATGAACTCCACAAATATTAATCAATGCCTTTTGTTGAAAACATCAATCCCTAATCAATCATGATCAGGTATTGATACAAAGCTAGATGCACTAGGAAATAACATCAAGACATTAAGAACTCAGTTTCCATACCCATGCTTCTGTCCCCACAAGGCAGACTGATGCCTACCTGTAGTGGGGAGGAAGGCACATCACTTAGGGGGCACAAAACCACTTCTTCCAAGTACCCAGTACAAAGGCTAGGCATGACAGGGTTTTGAGTCATGGTACTCCAGAATGGAGAATGCTTATGGAGACACCCATTTCACGTAGCTGGTCTCAAAGCTTGCAGAATGCTTACTACTTTTGGAGGGTCAGCAGAGCTGTCCTCCAAAGGAATAGTGAGATTGCTACTTATTTAACAAAGACCAGGTGTCATGTCTTCACAGTAAAACCACACACATATTACAAGGTTTCTAACAGTTTCTGCCCTTAGCCATGTGGGTAGAATTGGGGCACAGCCCTTGGAGAGTGAGGGGGAAAGGCATTGGTGGACCCCTACCACTGCAGTGACTTCACATGACTCTTTCCTCAACTTACAGTGTTACACCACTCATGACCAGTCATTGCAGCTCTGTAAGGCTCCACATACTCCCCAAACTGGGTCAGATTTATTTTCTAGAGTGGCAATGTCAAAATTGGTGTAAGATACACACATCGAGAGTATGTCTCACCTCAATCAAAGCTTCTACTAAGTTCTCCTCCTTATGAGTGTTATCTCACTTATCATCACATATTTCTCAGAACCCCAATCCCATCTCTTAAGCACAATTCTGCGGCAGCTGTTTTTAATTACAGAAAAATCTACTCTATTTCTCCATAAAACCAAAAAGGAACAACTTTTATTAAAATGCTATCAACACACAGTACTTCCAGTATAAAAGAAAATGAAAAGCTGTGTTAGGTAATACAAAACAGCAATAAAACTACTGCATTTCCATATCCTATTTTTCTCTCTTATTTACTTTCTGGTTTGGTTTGTCTAGTCTTTTCTTGCTTATATTGATGCTTCTAAGATCAATGATTATTTAATCTCCTTCCTTCTTACATTTATGTAGAGGTCTCCTTTTATTCCATTATTTACATAATGCCTCTTATTTTCATATATTTTTAGAAGAATAGTTTTTGTAGGTCAAATTCTAACAATCCACCATGAAAGGCAATTAACCTCAGTAAAGTCATCAAGTCCAGTTCCTTCACTTCTAGGAAGAAATCCAATAGTTAGAATCACTGCTCACAACCAAAAATCCTTGAGATGTCCTGTACTACACTATCTTATGGTCAACTGCGTTTGTTAAAAGACCTGAAAGTACTGCAGTATTCCCTAATTTTTCAAGAGAGGATTACATTCCCTGAAGCAGTGTCTCAGGGGTATCACAGCTGCACAGTTTTCTTTAACAACATTATTTATTTGTGTTTTCAGTTCATTACCTTTGGCTGTGGTGCCAAACATCTTACATCCCTAGGGCTGGAATCTCAGAAGGGCTTCCCTGAAAGATTTTAGCTGTCTCCACAGGACAAAATGAAGTCAAGAACATGTTTCTTTGCCAGATTTATTTCAAAACTTATTTAACGTCAACAATTTAAATGTAACATTTTATTACTTCCAAAGTTGGAAAAAAACTGAATATATAGGATAAACTACCTCAGCAGTCAGTAGCTATGTCTACTTTTGTTTTATAACCTCTTCAGTGTTTTTTTGCTCTACAAGGGATGACTGCCTACCGGTTTTCGTTTCCTATCTAACTACTATGATGCACTTCTTTACAAGATAAGGGAACTCTCAGATCTTCCCAGTGAGATTGATAATGGCTCACAGATATGTTACATCACTAACTTCCAAGTCATTTTCTCCCTATCAAAAATGGAAGAAAGAGGATATTAGAAAGAATTGCAGTCAGTGTACAGACATCCTAACTTCGTTTGTTTTTTTCCCTTTCACATTTCTGTCAGGTAATCTCTGGAACATCCAAGTGCCAGCTTAATTCTACTGACTTCCAGCAGGGCAGAGAGTGGCTTTAGGGAATGCAGGGAATGCAGGCATGATTTGGCCTTTTCTTCTGCAGATCTCAACTGAGAGCACACTTCAGCTCACATACAGGCATTAGCCTACTCTTAGTGAGGCTCTCAGAGTCTCACTTAGGGAGAGAAACATTAATGTTAATAAGAAAATGCATACCTGAACTGGCAGTGTGTTAAGCCACTGGGTTGTCTGGACACACAGATCCCACTGGGCTTTCAAAACTGAACTAGTATTTGTAGCCTGGTTCCTGCATAGCTTGTGAGCATGGTCATGAGGACAATGCTGAAATTGCTGTAAGAAAAGAGTCTGGATAAACAGAAAGTTAAAAAGAATATATTTATTTGTATGCTTTTCAATGAAAAATAGTCAATTAATTTAAATTTAAACAATCTCAGTTATAAGATATTAAAGCAACTGAAGACACAAATTAACCCTAGACTTTTACAATCCATATACCCAGTCAAATCAATACTTCTGCGAGTCCAGGCCCTTAACTTTACAATACCTAGTATGAGGAGAAAACTATCTGTATTTTCTCTGTGCTAAACAGAAGATAGGCTTCATGAACTAAGGGTTCCATTATCATCAGACCTTTTGGTTAAAACAGTTCACTCAGCCTTCCCAGTGGCATTTGACTTGAGACCACAACTCATGTTTGAATTTTTAAGAAAGTTTGAATCTTTAAGTAACTAGGAAAAATGGAAATACCATGCCAAGAAGTTAAGCTGTAAAAAAGAGCAGCAGAGACGTAAAAGTTAGAAACTGCTTTCTGGGCTGACATTTCTGAGGACTTCTGAAGAGCATTCCTTGGCTCTGCCGTACAAATATTCCAGATTTCTGCAAAAATGGTGTTACCCACATTCATGCTGTATAATTTGTCATCTTAATTCCATGTGTCATTACCTCAAGTTATAACTGTCTTTTTATATTCAAGACTTTGGGCCTGAAAGCACCTTTTTCCACTATTCTTCTGTTGAATTGGACTGAATCAATTAAAAAGTACCCAGCAATGACATCTGTTTAGAAGAAAAAAAGAATCCCAGGTCTGAGTCTTGTCACAGCCAGTTGCTGTTCATTGTCACACACAGATATATGTTGCTGGCTATTCCCACAGCCAGTTGCTCCACTACAGGTATTTATATCAGCAGAGATTTGGCTCACAATCAAAGAAGCTAACAGGAACTAAAAAAATTATTAGGCTGAATGACACTGGGCTAGCTAACCTTGCTCCTGATGAAAAGCATTGAGATCCCTAAGAATCTTACTGGCCAAGCTCTGGAAGTTACAGTTCAATCACAAAAGACTTTATGACTAGGTATTTGTAAAGCTAAAGAGTGGCTATTCTCCACAAGTGAAGGAAGAGAATGCCTGTGACCAGTAAACTTTTCCAAGCATCCAATAATACTGGCTGACAAGCAAGTTCACAAGTACTGTTCAGTTCCATGTGTAGTGAACACCTGCAGCTTCTACTGCTTTTGAAAGAACCTGAGTATTCGGCACTTTTGAAGAAAAACATCATGAAGTCCTATCCTCAAAGGAGGATCTTTCATCCAATTCTTTCTTGCTTATCTTGTAGTCACCATGTCCAAATTGCCACATGCAAAATTAACAGCCGATTTGAAAATTGCAACATTGCAATTCTCTACATTTCAATTTCTTAGTTTCTTAAAGCCCAACAACAGTCCTGGGGAATGGTATTTAACTACTTCATCATTAAATAATATTTGAATACTAAACCATGATCAAAACCAGTTAGTTGTAGGAATACAAGGCTATCTCAAAAGTTCATCTTGACCAGGCTTGTATTTTTATCACTGCATCATTTCCTGTGCCATCATCACTCCCTTTCTTCATTCACTTTTTTCCTTTTACAAAATATGTAACAACATGTGTGCTGGAAAAATTGATTTGATGATTTACATACCTCCTCAAGAAAAGCTGCCTTCAAAAATATCCTCAAAGTACACAGAAATCCTAACCACAAAAGTGGTCCCAAAATCCTAAATTGGTTGGTATGCAAGATTATATGAAATGAATTGGTAAACAAACAAGTTATTACATAGGCTATCAAATAAAATAAAAGTTAAAAATTTTAAGCTTTATTCCTCTCAGTACTGCATTTTCAGGTGCTTACATATTAGCTATTTTGGGAAAGATGACAACACAAAGTAAACAACACTAACATTCAGAGGATCTGTATTTGTGTGTATATTATGAAATCCAAAAGAGAATTCACAGTGCTATCAATTTATGCAGACAGGGGAGGGCACATGCTAAATCTGCAACACAACCGAATGACCAAACTTGAAGAGATTTTAATAATATATGTTGTATAATGCCAAGAAAATTGAGATCAGACAAAAAGATGAAAAAAGATTCACTTCATATGAATGCTAAAATTCATGTAACCTCAAGAAAAACCAAAACCAAAACCAAACCAAACCAAAGAAAACCCAACAAAAAACCAAAAACCCAAAACCTCAATAAATTGAATAATCATAATAAACCTGACAAGTATAACCATCACATTAGCACTGTCTACTGGGAGAGCCTGTATCAGAATATTCTGGAGATGGTCTGGCACTACAGAAGTCTTTCCTAGAGGGGAAATTAACTACATAAGCACTGCTCTGTTAAGGTAAGCAACTACCAGACATTAGTAAAATAGGAAAAAATGTGGCTTTTGGAAGACGTACTATAGTAATAAATCAATTAGTCAAACAAATCGTAACACTGGATCCACGCTAAGGCATTAGAAATGTAGCTTTCTACGTGAGCTTAGAAAAAGAACAGAACAGTTAATGCCTCTCAAAGTCAGCAATTAAGAATCCATATATCTTGTAGCTTTCCCAGTCATGAGCAGAATCAGGCATTTGTTTGGTTTCACTAAGTTCTCCTTTTAAATGTACCATTTCTCATTCTGTTGAGCTGCTGGTCTCATTGATTGGTGTTCATGACCTGAATGTAGAAAGAGTAAATAAAAAGACAATAGATTAAAAAGTATGTTGGATCTGATTATTCATTATGCATAATAATTTTCTAACTAATAGGGATATTTTGCTGTACATATATTTTCTAGCAAGATTTCAAAGTGTTGCACAAACATTAGGATATCAAGCAACAACCCAGAACTCCTTAATGCCAATTATTTTCTCTGTCAGGAAACTTTGATCCTTCTCTTTAACAAATATTAGCATGGATAGGCTGGAATATCTTGGGAAATCCTGATTTCTATGTACACAAAAAAGAGAACCACACCTACCTGATGTTAGAAACATATATAGTCATTTTAACATAGAGAAAATTGAGAAGTCCATGTCACTGCAAGGCTAGCCAAAACTCCTCTCTCTGATTATACAATAACATACAAACACTTCTATATTTAAAATTGTCCCTTAGATACAAGGAATAAAATGAGCTACAGAGCTGACAATCTGATGTCCAATCTGCATTCAGTACACAGAAATCCAAACAGGACTCTGAGAGCATCTAGAAATCATACATTCTTGCGGTATAATACCAGTGATTATAATACTTAATTATTCTGCACTGATGCAATGTTACACCTGAGTGACTGGAAAAAAAGAACAAAAAACTACTTTTTGAATAACAATGTGAGTTTTCTTAAGGGTTACCAAGGCCACCAGTTAGTTAGAGTCTTTATGCAATCTACTTTATATCACATTTCAATTGCTCCCTTTAGAAGTAAAGAAAAATTTTCTTTTCAAGACACACCAGTATCTTTGTAAGAACTGAAAAGATAAAACTGCAGTATCAGGCAACATGAAGAAGATAATTAAGATGAAATCTTGCAAATGATGTCTTAATGACAAAAAATTAACTATTCAAGGATTGTGCAGCTGCACTTCACCACCAAGACAATGCCTGATTTCCTCAAAGTGTGTTAAAAGTCTCAACACAGATCACAGTCTTGGCTTACAGTACACATAACTTTGGGGCTTTTTAACAAAACCCTTTAAGATAAAAATATATTCACACATAGTATCTCAAATGGGGAAGTTTAAAGCTTTAATCAGTTAAAATTGTAATATTTTAAAAACTAAAGCCTATAAACTTGATACAACCTCTAGAAATTGTTAGAAATACTGAAACATATCTTAACTATGTCATCTAACTAAAGGAAAATTGGTTCCAACTATTACTCAGTTATCTCTTTTATTTCCAAGGTTTTGATCAAGACTGTCTTTGAGGAATCTGTTCATCATAAAACTCTAGAAGGCAGCACTTTACATAGTGTTTCACAGAAAATGTTCTTGGTGCGTTATTAATTACCATCAGTAATGTTTGTTCTACTTCCCTTTTCACTCAAATCAGAATGAATGAATTGTGATCATTCTTTCCTGAATTATGTTTCTTAATCAAGCTCCTAGTTTTACATGGATTTTCCTCTATTCCTCAAGAACTATTATAAGTTAACTGATACAAAATGAAGACCTTTATTGATATTGTCATTGTATCTATAGGCAAAAATATAAAAGTTTCAGCGGTAGGGATTTCAGAAACTGGTAAGATCTTACCATAAACCGGTAACTTCTTTATCACATAGCTATTAACTTCGCTATTACCCTACCACAAAAAACTGTTTTCTCTTTTGTGGTGCTGTACTCCACAGCTGTGCTTACAGCATAGCAGCGGTAACAGTATCTTCAGTGTTCTTCTGCTAAACATGATATATTATCACAGGGAAAAACTGCTCAGTTTACATCAAAATCAAAATTTAATCAATTTATTAACAACATGTAATTAACCAGCAATCAGTGAGCTGTATATTCAAGATTCAGCAATACAAGTGAACCACAACATTAGATGCATACAAAATGTTAATAAACCACGATAGTAATGCATATGAAATGCTTATAATAAACACATACAAAAACAACCTCCTACAACAACCCTCCCAAAAAGCTCTAATCACACACAAATGAACAGTTACATGTGCACATCTTTGTCACATGACCTGTGAGTATTTACAAGCACACACCCCTCATCTGGGAGCTTTCGTTCCCCTCCTTACACATCTCCTGCTAGAGATTTGGGTGCTGTAGCTCTCCATGCATCTGTGCAGCTCCTTATAGCCCCCTGAATCACACCAGTGCAAAAGCACTACACAACTTCACATATGCACATCACAAGTGTGGGTGTTTATTATTGCAGCCTGTATTGACAGTTCACTAGCTGGATACAGACTGAGTCCAACAGGAAGGACGCTTCTTGCTTAGGCAGAGGTTTTGACACCATCAGAGCAATTTTTTATACTTCTTTTCAGGCTGTCTCCCCCTTCCAACAGTCTACATGCAACTATGACTGCATTAAGCGAAAGAAGCTATAGTGATCAATCTCCCAATGTAACATTCTCATAAAAACAAAATCACAAACATTGTGTCTCCAGAACTCAAATCTGAAAAAGAAACTTTTCTTCCTCCTCATCTTCCATGTCCTACACAACAGCACAATTAGGGGGACCCTTACACCAATAAAGAATGGAATACTTCTCACTAAACTTTAGATGTTTGCATCTGAGCTCATCACCTGAGTCCTGTAACAGGTTTTAGATTTCTGCTTTAGGATGAAACAAATCACATATTAGACATGTATGTTTCTCTCCACTGCCAGAAAAGGGATTTTTGACTTCTAGTTCAGATGTAAGTTTGAATTGTATAGCTAAATTTATGCAAGCATGTTGTGGTTTAAACCCAGTCAGGTAACTTGTTCACTCACTCCCAGTGAGTGGTGCCGAGCTGACAACAATTGAGGTCCGTGTCCGTCTCCCCCCCGCCCCGCACTGGGGCTCTCCCCTTCCCCGCTCCCGGAGGAACGGGGAGGAGGATCGAGAGAGTGCAACTCCTACGGGTTGAGACAAGAACAGTCCAGCAACAAATCACCACCGCTACTATCAGCTAAAACAATGATAAGGGAAAATAACAAAGGAAGAGAATACGATACCACCGGCCAAGAAAGCGAGTTCCACCCGGAAGCCCCTGTCCTTCCGGGTAACTCCCAGTTACCCCCCCCACCCCGGGCATGACGTGCTGTGGTATGGAATACCTCCCCGGCTAGCCCGGGTCAGGCGCCCCGTCTCTGCTCCCTCACAGCTTCCCCTCCTCCCTGGCAGAGCATGAGCCTCACAGAGTCCTTGGTCAGGGTAAACATCACTTAGCAACAACCGAAAACATCGGCTTCACCAACACTGTTCTCAAGCTAGAAGTCAAAACACAGCACTGCACCAGTTAACACAAAGGAAAAACACGACTGCTACTGCTGAACCCAGGACATTATCCACCCCTTATTCCATACCATTCACGTCGTGCTCAGATCCCACATTTTCAATACACCATCGCTCTCCCACATATATACATCCATATACATACAGACCAAGAGGAAAAAATCATTTTCTTAGTGCATGGACCAATCCCTATAATGCTGCCGAGTCCATTCGGTCCATGATGTTCAAAGTTCATTCTCTGTTGGGATGATGGCTGGAGGGAAGTCAGGGCCAGTCGCTGGTGACCTGGAGACATCTAGTTGATGGACTATAAAAGCATTACACAGCAGGCAACAGCATACAATTGAGTTCACTGGCTGTTTTCCCCTAAAATCAAATCCCCTTGAGGTATACATCGGACTTCCCCATCTTCCCGCATTACCCACCAAGTATATCCAGGTCCCTGAGCAAAAGCAATCCCACGAGTGGGTTTGCCTTTACCTGAAGCAGGAATAACCCAGACTGTCTTCCCCAGCAAATTCTTCATATGCACCACTGGAACTTTGTCCCCCTCTACAATATGTAAAAGTTCTGACTGGGCTGGGCCAGCCCTGTTGGCAGATCCTCTTGTGTTGACCAACCAGGTGGCCTTTGGTAAGTGTGTATCCCAATGCTTGAAAGTTCCCCCACCCATTGCTCTCAGTGTAGTTTTTAACAGCCCATTGTACCGTTCGATTTTCCCAGAGGCTGGTGCATGGTAGGGGATGTGATATACCCACTCAATGCCATGCTCTTTGGCCCAAATATCTATAAGGTTATTCCGGAAATGAGTCCCATTGTCTGACTCAATTCTCTCTGGGGTGCCGTGTCGCCACAAAATCTGTTTCTCAAGGCCCAGGATGGTGTTCCGGGCAGTGGCATGGGGCACAGCGTATGTTTCCAGCCACCCGGTGGTTGCTTCCACCATGGTAAGCACATGGCGCTTGCCTTGGCGGGTTGGTGGCAGTGTGATATAGTCAATCTGCCAGGCCTCCCCATATTTATACTTCAACCATCGTCCTCCATACCAAAGAGGCTTTAACCGCTTGGCTTGTTTAATTGCAGCACATGTTTCACACTCATGAATAACCTGGGCAATAGTGTCCATTGTTAAGTCCACCCCTCGGTCACGGGCCCATCTATATGTTGCATCTCTGCCCTGATGGCCTGAAGTGTCATGGGCCCACCGGGCCAAAAATAATTCACCTTTATGTTGCTAATCTAAGTCCATCTGAGCCACTTCAATCTTAGCCGCTTTATCCACTTGTTGGTTGTTCTGGTGTTCCTCAGTGGCCCGACTCTTGGGTACATGGGCATCTACATGACGTACCTTCACCACCAGGTTCTGCACCCTGGCAGCAATATCTTTCCACAGTGCAGCAGCCCAGATGGGTTTACCTCTGCGTTGCCAGTTGCTCTGCTTCCATTGCTTCAACCACCCCCACAGGGCATTTGCCACCATCCATGAGTCAGTATAGAGATAAAGTACTGGCCACTTTTCTCGTTCAGCAATGTCCAAGGCCAGCTGGATGGCTTTCACCTCGGCAAATTGACACGATTCACCCTCTCCGTCAGCAGTTTCTGCAACTTGTCGTTCAGGACTCCATACAGCTGCCTTCCATCTCCGATGCTTTCCCACAATGCGGCAAGAGCCATCAGTAAACAAGGCATACTGCTTTTCACTTTCTGACAGTTT